TCTTGTTTACTCCTTAGTTTTGCTGAAATATGTCTTCCAGTAATTTCTTAAGAAGGATTGTGGAGGAGATTATAAGCCTCTGTGTGTCTGGAAATTTCTTTAATCTACCCTTATGTTTGTTTGGTGGTTTGATGGGGAGATTTGGCTTGTTTTGAGATCCACATATCATCATATCCTTTGTTGTACTTGAATTTTCCAAGTTGAAAGCTTCTTGTTTGTTTTTCATCTTTAGAGATGGGATTCCACTTGGTTGTCTAGGCCTGGAGTGCATAGTGCAATCGTAACACACTGCAGCCTTACCCTTAGGCTCAAGTGATCCTTCTGCCTCAGCCTCCTGAGTAGCTGGAGCTACAAGTGCGGACCACCATGACTGACTTTCTCTCAGGTTTTGAGGAACTTTGATATCTCTGTCTTCTTTTGTAGGGTCTCCTATACTTTACTAGGCAATCTTCTTTTTCTACTTGGCTTCACCAGGCAACATTCTTTTCTTACTTTTTTTTCTTTTAGAAATGAAGTTTCACTCTTGTTGCCCATGCTGGAGTGTAATGGCACAATCTCGGCTCACTGCAACCACCGCCTTTCAGGTTCAAGCAGTTCTCCTGCCTTAGCTTCCCGAGTAGCTGGGAATATAGGTGTGTGCCACCACATCAGGCTAATTTTGTATTTTTAGTAGAGACTGGGTTTCACCATGATGTTCAGGCTGGTCTCGAACTCCTGACCTCACGTGATCAGACCGCCTTGGCCTCCCAAAGTGCTTGGGACCACGCCTGGCCATGTTCCTTTATTTTTGTTCCAGAAATCTGTTGAAATTCTTATGTACACTGATGATGTCCATACTGTTTTCTTTGTTGTAGGGATTTATATCTTCATTTTCTTACTTACATTAAAGAGTCTCAGAGATAAAATGAGTCTACCTACAAGCCTGGGCAACATGGTGAGACCCCATGTCTACAAAAAACACACATGCGCTTTTGGTCCTAGTTACTTAGGAGGCTGAGGTGTGTGTGGGAGGATCACTTGAGCTCTGGAAGTCGAGGCTGCAGTGAGCTGGGATCGTGCCACTGCAGTCTATCCTGGGCGACAGAGTGAGACCCTGTTGCAAAAACAGACAAACAAAAAATGAGTCTAACTAATCTGTCATTTTTCCCCAAATTTTTATTTTTAAACATTAGAAATTTAAATGTACTAAGAAAGTAACTTGAACACTAAATCCCTAACAATGATATAGTGATCTCACAATTCCAGAAAGTGATTCCTGATTTCATGTTCTGTTTTATAGATAATAGGATATATATTTATATACAGCTTTCCTGTGGATAATGGCAAAAACATTAGCAGGGGTGAGTGACTGAGCTGTAATTTTTTTAGGTTTTTACTTTGTTTCGTCCCTATTCTTAACTACCACCACCCATAATCCAGGCCTTTTTTCTAATTTATTGCTGTTATTGAAGGAGTCTTGTTTTGCCTTAGTTTCTTATATATACATTGCTGTCAAAGCCAAAAGGTTTGGTAAATGTTACAACAGTAATTGAAAAAAGGTAGAGCCTAGCAATCTGTGTTTTGGTTTTTGGTTTTGAGATGGCATGGAGCCTCCCCCACCCTGTCGGGCAGGCTGGAGTGCAGTGGGGCAATGTCAGCTCACTGCAACCTCCACCTCCCTGGTTCAAGAGATTCTCCTTAGCCTCTCGAGTAGCTAGGATTATAGGTATATGCCACTGCACCCAGCTAATTTTTGTATTTTTAGTACAGATGGGGTTTCACCACACTGGTCAGCCTGGTCTCTAACTCCTGACCTCAGGTGATTATACAGGCATGAGCCACCACGCCTGGCCAGCAATCTGTGTTTTAACCAAACTTCCACATAATTCTAATTAATTTATGCTTTGAGAACTGTTAATCTAGTTTGTCCCTCTCATTTTACAGGCAAAGAATTGAGGTCTATAGAGATTAATTGAATTGTCCAAAGTCATACAGCTAGGTATAGTTTTCTGTTATTTATTTTAATTTTATTCCGTTTTCCCCCAGTATTCAATAGTTTTCTTTCTAATACTCCATATTTGATTTGACTTTTTGCAAGTTGTAATTACAGTTAAGTCTAAAATGGGAAAGTTGGAGAAGACTTTATGGAGAACATGAGATTTGACTGAACAATAAACATTAAGTAGAGAGAAAAGAGGGGGGTGTTATAAGCAGTAGGACCACAGTGAATAAAGGTATAGTTAGGTTTTAAAAAAAAAAAAAGAAAAGTCCTGGGAACACAATTGGCAAGTTGGACTAATAACAACTAGGTGTTCCTTTATAGGAATAAAGTAATTATCACAGTGCCTGGTGTGTTAATAAATGTTAACTGCCCATTATTGGTGTTGGCTGGTGTTATTGGTTGCGTTGTTGATTTTGTTATCGTTGTTGGAGAAGTCAAACAGAACTGAAGTTAAAGCTGTGGCTTTCTGAATCAGATCTCAGCCCTGCTGTTTACTGTTTGACTTAATCTCTCCTAAACTTCAGTATCTACATTTGTAAAATGGATATGGTGGTTGTAACAAATAAAATATATGTTGATGCTATAACAGCTTTATAATAAGTACTTTAATGTCAACTATTATATGTCTTGGCTTGATAAGTCATTTGATTCTGAGTGACTTAAATAATGTCAAAAATCATAATTATTCTTAAAGGATAAATTTGTCATGATTGAAGAGTTCACAACTATGGCCAAGGCAGAAAACCTTAATAACAGGGAACTGGTTAAGTAAACTCTAATAACAAGGGACTGATTAAATGAATTGTGGGACATTGATAATCCTGTAGCCGTTGAAAACTGTTCGTTTCAGAAAAAACTTTATGACATGCATCATGAACTTACTTCGTATTCATGATACAGTAACAATGAAAAAGTTACCAGGCAGTACATAGTGTCTCAAATTATATAATTTGTTTAAAGTATTGCTCAAAGAATATTCTTAAACATTAATGAGGATAAACTCTGAGTCTTTGAGTAACTGTTTTCTCTTTTGTGTGTTTTTCTTTATTCAAAATTTTTAAGTGAACATACTTTCATAATTAGGAAAAAATTAATGTGACACATACTTTGAAACTAGCAGGATTGTTGGAATAGTTTTATAGCCTCTCCAAATGACCGCTGATACTTTAAAGGGAACAGTATTCATTTTTATCTGCGGTCAGCACAAGCCTCCAGCTGGAATTTGAAATATATTTTGAGTGGACCTTGCTAACTTTCAGTATCCCACCTCAATTATGATAATGGCTAATGTTGAGAGGTCATCTCTACCAGGTACTGTTAAGTATTACCAATCTTACTTAATCTTCACAATAATTTTATATGGTAAGCACCATGATTATCTCCATTTTATAGATGAATTGAAAATTAGTGAAGGAACTTAAGAGGTTAAAGCACTTGTGCAAGATAACAGGATGGTTACTAAGCCAGGAATTTAACCAAGAGCCAGACTTTTTTGAGCCTGTATCCTTAGTCATTGTGCTGTACTGTCTCCACATATTAATATTTACAATGCTAAAACATCTGAGGAGCTACCTATTAAGAAAACGAAGGGTCTAATTTAATGTTGTGGTATTTCTATATATTTGAATAAGATATGACATGGAAAAGTATTATTTTATCTTTTAAAAATTCTTGGGCTAGGTGTGGTGGCTCACACCTGTAATCCCAGCACTTAAAAAGGCCAACGCAGGCAGATCATGAGGTCAGGAGTTCGAGACCAGCCTGGCCAACATGGTGAAACCCTGTCTATACAAAAAATACAAAAAATTAGCTCAGCATGGTGGTGTGCGCCTGCAATCCCAGCTACTCAGGAGGCAGAGGTGGGAGAACGGCTTGAAACCCGGGAGGTAGAGGTTGCAGAGATCTGAGATCATGCCACTGCACTCTAGCCTAGGTGACACAGCAAGATGCCGTCTCAAGAAAAGCCTTCAGATTAAACATTTCCGAAAGGTTTGTGCCCCATTCTGTGGTATTTTTTATAGGCTAATATACTCCTAATAAATATATCCAGTATTAGTAAAATGAATTTGATAACAGAGATTAAGAGTATGGGGCTCTAGCCGGGCGCGGTGGCTCACGTGTATAATCCCAGCATTTTGGGAGGCCGAGGCTGGCAGATCACAAGGTCAAGAGATTGAGACCATCCTGGCCAACATGGTGAAACCCTGTCTCTACAAAAAATACAAAAAATTAGCCAGGCGTGGTGGTGCGTGCCTGTAGTCCCAGCTACTCGGGAGGCTGAGGCAGGAAAATTGCTTGAAACCAGAAAACGGAAGTTGCAGTGAGCCAGGATCATGCCACTGCATTCCAGCCTGGTGATAGAGCAAGACTCCGTCTCAAAATTTAAAAAATATATATATATGGGCCTCTGGAACTTAACCATCTGATTTCATATTCTGCCTCTGCTGCTTAATACTTTATGACCTAGCATGAGTTGCCTAACCTCTCTTTGCCTGGTTTCTTCATCTGTAACATAGGAATAATAATGTGTCCCTTATGAAGTTGATGCAAGGATTCAATGAACTGATACACGTATAAAACACTTGAAACAGTAGTGCCTGCACATGTTAAGTTTTTGGTAAGTGTTAGGTACACTGTCAGCAGTAATAGTACTATTTATTTGAATTACTATCATTATTATCATCCATCATCATTTGTATTGCTATAATAAACTTCTAAAAGACACCCAAATTACTTTGTAGTGAAAAGTAAAAATAAAAACATTACATCTAGAGTCCATTGACTTAAAAATTATTTTGCTACCACTTACTGGCTTTCTGACCTTACACATTTCACTTAACCTTAATGGTCTGAACTGCCCGTCAATAAAACAAGTTAATATTTTTCTTGTCGGGTGATATCTTGATTTGTAAAAAACATTACTAGAAACTATGTTGCAGTACCAGAAATTATCGTTAAATTATGGGAGTATGAAAGAGAACTGATGATGCTGAGCCCACCATCCTCTTCTCTCTCTGGTGAGGTCCATTTTTCTTCTTTCAATAAGATGGTTTCTTGATACAGAAAAGATTAGCATGGCCCCTGCCCAAGAGTGACATGCACATTTGTGGAGTGTTATGTATTTTTTAAAAAGTTGTTTCATGTGTGAATTCATAAAGGGAAAGATTCAGCATTTAGTGCTTATAAGAATATAATAGCCATATTTTCATTTTGCTCTTCATGCTTCATACTCCTGCTCTTATACTCCTTGCCCATAAACTAAAGACATTTCTAGAAATTTTTAAATTTCATGTGAAAAGAAAATTAGGGACAGGCTAAATTGTTTTAAGCTGTGTGCATATGATGATTTGTGTCCTGTTTTATACTTTCATAACACCTGCGTGTGTCCATAGTATGGCAGTTACTATATTGCTTCAATTATTTGTTTACATATCTCACTCCCCAACTAGAACAGTTCCCTCAGTGGTGGACCTTTATATTCACAATGACTATAAGCAGATGAAAATTAATAGGCTGGGCTCAGTGGCTCATGCCTATAATCCCAGCACTTTGGGAGGCCGAGGCAAGGTGGATCATGAGATCAGGAGTTCGAGACCAGCCTGGCCAACATAGTGAAACCCTGTCTCTACTAAAAATACAAAATTAGCTGGGTATGATGGCATGCACCTGTAGTCCCAGCTACTTGGGAGGCTGAGGCAGGAGAATCGCTTGAACCTGGGAGGCAGAGGTTGTGGTGAGCCGGTATTATGCCACTGCACTCCAGCCTAGTCAACAGAGCAAGCTCAAAAAGAGAAGAAAATTAATAGCATTTGGTTGATAATGTCTGTGAATCCAAGATTAGGCTTAAAAAAAAAAAAAAAAAGCTAGGTTTGATTTAATTGTTAATTTGGGGCTATGGTCATTCTGGTCTTAAATTAATGACATATTCGATACTCTGGTCATATCAACTTCTACTTGGGTATATAACACTACTTTTGAATTACATTGTCCAATTGAACTTGGATTGAATTTAGGTATGTTAAATTTTTGGAAGTTAGTAACTTTAAAAATAGTTTTTTTCTTCCTTGTTAAAATAGAAAATTATCGTATGTATTTTAGGAAATTTGACTGTTAGGAAATACTGAACGTGAAAAAGTAGAGGAAGAAATATAAGAATGGAAGAAAACATTTTTTAATGCTCCATTCTAGGGAGAGATTGTTTTACACTCCTTTTCCCAAAAGCAATGAGAGAAAATGTCATAAGAGAACAGAATGTGATATGTAACAGAAAAGAATTAAAATAAAGTTAAGTTACTCTCAAGAAACTTTAATCCTTGAATTAGTAGTTGTCAGTTGGAAATTTTAATCAAATAAAGTTATGAACTTTTGTCAATTCCGGGCCCACAGACATATTTTACTTATTTTTTAAAATTTGTTTCAAATTCATGAATCTGTGGACATTTTTTATATGGAGTATTGTTAATTTTGACATCAACAGATAACAGTCCACTTTACATCACATGGCTAACTCTCAAATATTGAATGGCACGTCTACCATGAAACAGTATTGTACCATATGTAATTATGAAAGCTAATCTATGCTTTCTGACTCCCCATTCCTAGTGTAGTGTATTTTCAGAGTGACAAAATTCTCTATTTCCAACCCAAATGACTAACGCTTGAGATCTACATACTTAAGTTTTATATTGGGCATTTCCACTTGAATGTCTCACAGGTACCTCAAAGCTCAAAATCCAAACTGTAACTCATCTTTTTTCCCCTTCCTCTTAGCTTCCAAAATCACTGCCTTAGTACATGGCACCACCATTCATTGGATTGCCCAAATCAACATTAATTTGGTTCCAGCCTTTTCTCCACTCCCCAGCCCACTGTATCCACTCATCAGGTTTTATGAGATTTACCTTGTAATGTATCTCATATATCCATGTTTTCCATATTTATTACTGTAGCCACCTTCCTCTCTGAGTTATATTGTGCTGTAGCTCCTTTACTGGTCTTCTCCCACCAGTGCTATTTCCAGTTGTTTTTACTTTGGGTGACCTTCCTAAAACCCAAATCAGAACATAGTACTGTTCTTTTTGATACCCTTCAGTGACTATCCCTTGTTTTTAAGATAAAGTCTAAATTCTTTAGACTTAGAAAATTTATACTTATTGTAATTTATAAAAATTTATATTTAGAAAATGTGTTTGTAACAGCCTTGATAATTTAGTCTCTGCTACACCGTATAGCCATACATATGGAGCAGCTGGCAGTTCCTTGATACCTGTGCTGGAGATGAACATTTTCAAGTCTTCACACACACCCTTCCTTCTGCTTGACTGACTCCCAGTTGTCATTCATTTCTCAGCTTGGACTTTATTCAGAAAACCTTATACCAACACCCAGACATCATCTAAGATTGGATTAGATGTTCTTATATATTCCCGAAATACTTTCTACTTATCCATATCAGCATGTAACACACTGCATCGTTATTGCCTGTTCAGTTGTCTCTCTCTCTCTTAGGCTGTTGAATAGCAAATACCATATTATCTTTGATTGACTTGTTTCACCAATACCTAGCACAGTGCATGGCAAGATTTGGCTTCTGAAGATTGTTGTTAAGTAATGAAAATGCATTTTTCTGAGTCATTTTAAGTATAATGATTTTTCGGGTGGCAAAAATTTAAGAGAAAGAGAGTGTGTATGTGTGAATAACTGAATACATTAATGGAATTGTTATATAACAGTATCCTAAATAAATAATTTAAAAATTGTAACTACATGTAAAATAAAATCAAACATCTGCTTACAGCAAGTCAAGCTTTTAAAAAGGAGTTTTTTTTATAATAACTTTATTTTTGGGCTCCCTACTATAAAATATTTAAATTTTAAGTAAACCATTTAACTTTAAAAGTATTTAAATTTTGTCTTGATTTCCACTTGTGAATTTTTTTAGCAGCTAGAGAAAAGCTGTGGTAGTTTCCAACTGTGTTAGAAACAGTTGTCAAGTGTGGTTCCTTTACACTATGAGACTGGGAGCTGTTTCTAAACACAAAGTTGTTAGTAGCACAGATTTGCCTAAGTTTCCAATCTGATCTGTGACTATGGGTAAGTTAATTGGAATTTGTGTATTTGTGGGGAAAAAAAACTTCTGTCAATTAAATTACGTAAATTACTCTCTTACTTTATAACCTAAAATGTATAGACTTTAAACCCCAGCCAGTAAATAGTACAGTTTTTTGCAAATCTTCAAGGTAAAAGTTATACAAAAATCAAAGTATTCTGCCAGCCTCAGAATAGATAGACTCAAGACACTTAGGATTCTTACTTGAATCCTAAAATAAATTTTCAGTGCTACATTTATTATCAAAGATGTCAAAGATTATTTTTAATTAAAGAAACATGTTTATTTTCCAGAAGCCTTTACTTACTTCTGTGGTTTCTACTAATACTGAAGGTTGTATTGTATTCATAGCATAGGATTTGTAGTAAAATTTAGAAATTATAAAATAAATTTTGTTATATATGTGTGCAAATAGCATACTTTAAAATTGCACACTAACTTCTTATCCTTTAAGACAGTGGTCCCCAGCCCTTTTTGGCACCAATGACGGTTCTGTGGAAGACTGTTTTTCCATGGACCTGGAGGGGTGGATGGTTTCAGGATGAAACTTTTAACCTCAGATCATCAGACATTAGATTCTCATAAGGAATGCACAACTTAGATCCTTTGCATGTGCAGTTCACAGTAGGGTTCACGCTTCTATGAGAATCAAATGCCTCTGACAGAAGTCAGAGTTCAGGCAGTAATGTTTGCTGACCCACCACTCACTTCCCACTGGGTGGCCCAGTTCCTAACTGGCCACAGGGGTTGGGGATCTCTGCTTTAAGATAACTGATAAAGGGTTAGTGAAAAATATATATGTGTATAAAGCGTTAGTGAAAAATATATATGTGTATGTGTGTGTTTTTATATACACACACTCTTGCTAACGCAGTCATACACCACATAACAATGTTTTCATTAACAACCGACTGTGTATGACAGTGGTCCCAAAAGATTATGATACCGTATTTTGTTTGTTTGTTTGAGACGGAATCCAGTGGTGTACCCTTGGCTTACTACAACCTCATGAGTTCAGGTCATTCTCCTGCCTCAGCCTCCTGAGTAGCTGGGACTACAGGCACGGGCCACCACGCCCTGCTAATTTTTGTATTTTTAGTAGAGATGGGGTTTCACCATGTTGACCGCTGGTCTTGAACTGCAGACCTCAAGTGATCCTCCCGCCGTGGCCTCCCAAAGTGCTGGCATTACAGGTGTGAGCAACCGCCTCTAGCCATGATACTATATTTTTACTGTACCTTTTTCTATCTTTAGATAGGCATTTTTTCCTTCCTTCCTTCCCTTCCTTCACCTCCACTTCCACCTCCATCTCTACCTCTACCTCCCCCCTCCCCGTCCCCCTCTTTTTCGTTGGAGTCTTGCTCTGTCACTCAGGCTGGAGTGCTATTGATGCAGTGTTAGCTCAGTGAAGTCTACACCATCCATGTTCAAGCAGTTCTCCTGCCTCAGCCTCCTGAATAACTGGGATTACAAGTGACCACCACCACACCCGGCTAATTTTTAAATTTTTAATAGAGACAGGGTTTCACCCTGTTGATCAGGGTGATCTTGAACTCCTGACCTTAGATGAACTGCCCGCCTTGGCTTCCCAAAGTACAGGGGATTACAGGTGTGAACCACCACACTTACGCTTCTCAGAACATGCTTTTGTCTTTAAGTGACAAGGGCCTGTATGTGTCTGCACTGTCCAGTTGAGATAGCTACTACGTGCATGTGGCTGTTGAACACTTGAAATATGCCTAGTCTGAATAGAGGCATGCTACAAGTGTTAAACATACATACTAATTTCAAAGACTTAGTTTGAAAAAAATGTAAAATATCTCAGTAATAATTTTAATAATTTTATATTTACTTGTTGATATATTTCAATTTAGTATGTTAAAATATGTTAAAATTAATTTCACTCTTTTCTTTTTTAATGTAGCTAAATTACATATATGGATTGTGTTCTATTTCTGGTGGACATCTCTGGTCTAAAACTTTTTTTCTAACTAAAATTTTTCTGTAAATTATGGTT